CGGCGGGACCGCAGGTGAGCGGAGCCGGGGCCGGTGTGAGGCCGGGCTGCGGAGCGGGGCCGGGGCCGGTGTGAGGCCGGGCGGCGGAGCGGGGCCGGGGCCGCCTGACGGTGTGTGCCCACAGGCGCCGGAGCTCTCCCGGGAGGAGAAGCTGCAGCTGCGGAAGGAGAAGAAGCAGCAGAAGAAGAAGAAGAGGAGCGAGAAGGGGCCGTCGGCCGAGCCCGCGGAGCTGGGTGCGCCCCCCGAAGCGGGGCAGCCGCGGGGTGAGCGCCGCCGTCTCCGCGGGGCCCTGAGCGGGGCAGCGCCGGGCCGGGCCCGCGGCTGTCCCGGGCTGGCAGCGCCCGGAGCCGGCCGTGTCTTCCAGCGGGACCCCTGGGGTGTAGCCCCGGTCCGGGTCCCGGTCCGAGCCCTCGGCCGGCCGCGCTGCCGTGGGGTTTGCAGTACAGAGATACAGACCCCTGCCCCAGGAGCGCGGGGCTGCCCCGGCGTGCCGTACCCCACCCCCGGCGTGCCGAGTCAGCTGCGCCGTGCCGAGGGCCTGGAGCCCCTCGAGGGCCTGGAGGGCTCTCCCTGTCGCGGGCTGCCCCTCGCACTGGGCTGCATCTCCCGGCCAGACTGGGCACAGACTCCCCCTTCCTCCCCGCAGCAGCCGCTCAGCCCACGACCCCCCCTGCCCCGGCTGATGGCCACGGTGACGGCGAGAAACCCGCGGGGGGCAAGAGCAAAGCAGAGCTGCGAGCAGAGCGCCGGGCTAAGCAGGAGGCTGAGCGCGCCCAGAAGCAGGCCAGGAAGGCAGAGCTGAGCCAGGCAGCCACGATGGCCAAGCCCCGGCAGAGCCCCACCGAGCCCCAGTCCAGTAAGGCTGTCAGCACCACGGGGTGGTGAGCAGAGGGTGGGCGAGCAGGATGGCAGGGTCTGGTGTGGGCCCAGACGGGGGATGCCTGTGTGAATAATCCGTGCTCTGGGTTCCGCCTGTCCCTGGGTGCTGCCCTGCCTTCCCTGAATTTGGGGCTGCACCAAAGCAGCTTGGCCTCATCCCAGCTGTCCTTGCAGTGGTGAAGCGGCTGCCGGAGCATGTGCAGGTGGATGACCCTGCTGCCCAGAGGAAGCTGGCCAAGAAGCTGGAGAGGCAGCAGGTAGGAGGAGGACTGGGTGACAGGCTGCACACTGGGGCAGCTGTGCTGCAGAGGGCCTGGGGGGCACATGGTGGGACCAGGGCCTGCTCTCTGAAGGGCAGAGGGGAACTTTGCGTGCCCTGAGCAAGTGCTGGGTGTGACTGGTGGCCCTGGAATAAGCAGAGCACTGGGTGAGCCATCACCACACTTGGCTGCAGGTACCTCTGAGGCAGGACTATGGCACCAAGGTCAACCTGTTCTCCCACCTGCACCAGTACAGCCGGAAGAAGCCACTGACGCAGCAGATGAGGTACAGGGCCTCCCCAGCCCAGGGCTCTGCTTTGGCTGGCCTGGCTGCAGGATGGCTATGGAGGAGGGGTGTCATAGTCCTGCATGTGGGATACACCTGATGGAGTGGTGGGGGACCTTTTGCTCGCTCTGGGGAGTGGCAGTAGGGGCAGCCCAATATCTTTCCTGTGGGGAGAGTGCAGGGCCACAGGAGAGGGGGCTGTGGGGTGAGCCTGGCTCCTCAGGTTGCTGCCAGCCCCCTTCCTGGGCTGTCCCGTGGGTTGTTGGGCTGGAGCTCATAAATGTTGAGTGTTCTGGGCCGCAGAGGTGCTGACAGCTCCCTCCGCCTGGTCCCTGCAGCATCCCCTCCACAGTGATCCACCCCGCAGTGATGCGCCTGGGCCTGCAGTACTCGCAGGGCATCATCAACGGCTCCAACGCCCGCTGCATCGCGCTGCTCGAGGTCTTCAAACAGGTACCTGAGCAGCCACCTGGCAGCAGGGGCTCTGTGCTGCGTGCAGGAGTGTGTTCTGTACCCTGACTGCTGGGGCTGTGTCTGTGGTCAGTCATCCTCAGCCTCTTCCTTTGGGTTGTGCCACGGCAGGGTCCTTGTGTGGCACTGCCACTGCTGGTTTGAGTCCCTGGAGCAGCCTTTGTCCCTCCGGGCAGCGTGTCAGGCTGCGCAGGATGTGTGTGCCCCAACATGTGTGTCCTGAGATCATACTCCCTTTCTTCTTGTCCCAGCTGATCCGGGATTACTCCACTCCCCCCAATGAGGAGCTGTCACGGGACTTGGTGGCCAAGCTGAAGCCACACATCAGGTGAGGGCTCCCAGTGCCAGAGCAGAGGGACCAAAGCTCCGCAGAGTGTGGTCCATTGGTCACCTCTCTGGATTGGTGTCCACCCAAACTTTGGCTGACTTTCCTAGGCTTCTGCCTTCCTACCCACCCTCCCTCTCCCTGTCTTAGCCCTCCAGGCTGCTTTGGAGCTAAGCCCATTTCTTCTGCAGCTTCCTGAACCAGTGCCGGCCTCTCTCAGCCAGCATGGGCAATGCCATCAAGTTCCTCAAGAAGGAGATCTCATGCCTGCCTGACACCCTGAGAGAGGATGAGGTGAGTGGCCTTGGCTCCAGGCCCTGGGTGAAGGAGCTGAGCAGGGATGGGATACAGACTCAGAAAGTGCTGCAGTGGAATTGAAAGCTTGTTGCTAGGAGGAAGAGCCTGATGCTGACCTGGCTCAAATCAGGGAGATGTTGAGAGCAAGAAAATCTGTATGTGATGTCTCTCCCCAGGCAAAGGAGAAGCTCCAGGACGTGATCGACAAATACCTGCGAGAGAAGATTGTCCTGGCAGCTGAGGCCATCTCAAGGTCTGCCTTTGAGAAGATCAATGACCACGACGTGATCCTGGTGTATGGATGGTGAGCACGGAGCACAGGCAGCTGATCCCATGGGTAGGAGCAGGGAATGGAGCAGTGTGGGAGGTGAGGCTGTGCTGGTCCTGCACAGGGCTCAGCACTGTCCTACCTGGTGTGAAGTTGGATTCCAAGAACCCCAGAGCCACAGCTCCCTCCACCCAGGGCACTTACAGAACAGCCAGGGCTGTTCACTGGATTTTAAACAAACTGCAACAAAGTCAAATGTCAGGAAGCAAAAATACAGAAGTTTGCATCCCAAGAAGTAGAGGTGGGGAAAAGAACCAGAGATTGCTGCAGCAGGAGTCCAGGTATGCTGTGTATGCTGGGCAGAGCAAGGAGCAGGGGCAAGGAGGCCAGTGCAGGCCAGGAGTGTGGTGAGAGGGTGTGGAGTGGCAGAGTCCCTTGTGCTGTCACAGACAGGGAGGTCAGTGCTGCTTCCAGGGAGGGCTGAGACCTTTCCCAGGGTGTGTCCTTGTGCAAGGGCAGGGAGACGTGCCCTGGGAGCCATCGTGACAAGAGGGTTCTGGAGGGGCAGCGCTCACCAGGATGAGGGTGGGTAGTGGGGATGAGGGTGGGTAGTGGGGATGATGAGGGTGGGTAGTGGGGATGATGAGGGTGGGTATGGGGATGAGGGTGGCATGGTGGCCAGGTGGGAGCCTGCTGTGGCGGGAGGGCAGCTCCTGACGGGAGGGCGCCCTGCAGCTCCTCGCTGGTGAACCGGACGCTGTGCGACGCCCACGCCAAGCAGGGCCGCGCGTTCCGCGTGATCGTGGTGGACAGCCGGCCGCGCCTGGAGGGCCGCGAGACGCTGCGCCGCCTGGTCCGGCACGGCATCCACTGCACCTACGTCATGATCAACGCCATCTCCTACGTGCTGCCCGAGGTGAGGGGCCTGCCCGGGCCGGGCAATGCGGGGTTTGTGAGGGCCCCCAGGACGAGGTCAGAGATGGGAATCTGACTCCAAGTGCTCAGAAGGCTGATATTATGTTATGGTATGTTACATCATATATTGTATCACATTATACTACATTACGCTATGTTATATTACATTATGCTATATTACATTACATTATGTTATATTACATTATATCATATCATCTCATATCATATATATTATATCATATTACATTATATTACATTATATTACATTACATTATATTACATTATATTATATATATTATATTATAATATTATGCTATACTAAAACTATACTAAAGAAAGAGAAAGGATACATCACAAGGTATAAGAAGAATGAATAATAGAAACCCGTGACTCCTCAGAGCCTTGACACAGCTGGATCATGATTGGTCATTAAATTAAAACAATTCACATGCTGGATGAACAATCTCCAAATCACATTCCAAAGCAGCAAAACAGGGAGAAGCTGAAGCTTTCCAGCTTCCCAGGAGAAGAAATGCTGGCAAAGGGAAAATACCACAGTGACAGGGGAGGCTTCAGTGTGACCAAAGGTGCTGAGAGAGCCTGTGTTTCCCCGGCAGGTGTCCAAGGTGCTGCTGGGAGCCCACGCTCTGCTGGCCAACGGCTCCGTCATGTCCCGCGTGGGCACCTCGCAGATCGCGCTGGTCTCCAAGGCCCACAATGTGCCCGTCCTTGTCTGCTGCGAGACGTACAAGTTCTGCGAGCGGGTGCAGACAGATTCTTTTGTCTCCAATGAGCTGGGTATGGCTTCTGTCCCTTTCCCCCCACCTGGCACCTCCTCTCCCAGTCCCTGCTGTGGACCACGACAGGCTGCTCGGCCCTGCCATCCCTCCTCCTGGGCAAGGGGTCACTTGCAGGCGGGGGCACGTGGCAGATGGTGGTGGTGTGTGCTGCTCCAGGGGCAGCATGGAGAGGTGCTGTCCCTCTCCCGATCCTGATTGCTTCTCCACTCTCTGCAGATGACCCTGATGACCTGATTGTGCTCCGGAAGGGCCAGGCCCAGCTTGGGGGCTGGGCAGAGAACAAGTCCCTACGGCTTCTTAACCTGGTCTATGATGTGACGCCCCCAGACCTGGTGGATTTGGTCATCACAGACTTGGGCATGATCCCCTGCACCTCAGTGCCTGTGGTCCTGCGCGTGAAGAATGTGGATCAGTAATCAGAGCAGCTGCATGGACACTAATAAACCAGGCCCCAGTACTCTGTGTGTGCCATCTGTGGTGTGGCAGAGCCCTGGCACCCATGTCATCCATGTCACCGCTGGCACAGCTCTGCACCTTCCTTGGGGCCTCTCCTCCCACTCCAGGTTGCAGCCATAGATGAGTCTTCCCTGTCCTTATGCCCCTTCTGTGGGGAAGCGATGACAGTGTGGCGATGGGCCCTGGCTTACCCTCCTCGGAGATCTGGTGGCACTCGTGTGCTTCTGGCGGACCCCGAGCTGGGCTGGTGGGGGACGGCCCGGGTCCCTCTGGAACCAGCCCCGGAGAGGGCCCGTACCCGCGGGGCCGGCCGGTCGGCGGGCGGTGCCCGGGGCGAGGAAGCGGGACCGGCGGTGCCCCGGGGCCCGAGCAGGAGCGGCACCGGCGCGCGGCTCCCGGACCGCCGGGGGCGGCTCCCGGACCGCCGGGGGCGGGGCCTGTCTCCGGGGGTGGGGCTATGCAAATCGCACCGCTGCTCTGGCAGGGCCAGCGGAGTCCTCACGGGGCGTGTCCATGCAAATTAGATCCCGCCGCGCGGCATGACGGGACAGCCCCTCAGAGACCCCGCTGCCCTCGCGTGTGCGGGCCGGGCCGGGCCGGGCGGGAGCTGCGGACTCACAGCGCAGGGAAGGAACTAATACCGGGCAGGTCGCTGCACCCCGGGTGTGCTGGCCCATGCGACATCACCACTGCAGCGTGACTGAATAATTTGTGTTAGGGGAGATTGTCCTCGCATTCTCCCTGATTTCGTTGTTTCGAGGGGGAGCTGTAATCAGGTAATGTGCACATGTTGTTTGTTGGTATTCCCAACTGCAGCCGCCAGGATCGTTTACAGACGCAGCAGCAGTGTTGCAAGCCCGACTCCACGGGGCCTCGGTGCCCATCCCTGCCCCACTCCATGTCTGCAGAAGCGGCCCAGCCTCGCCTCTCCAGGCTCCGGCCCGCGGGTCCAGCAGCGCCACCGGCCCGACTGCGCGCTCGGTGGGACTCGGGTTAGCGTCCCGGCCAGCCCTCCGACCTCGCGGGAGGGACGGACAGGGGCAGAGACTTGGTCCGACTCGGGGCGCGCCAAATTCCCGCTCTCTGTAAGTCCGGCTGAACTCGCGGACTCGGCCGGGTGTGACCCACACAGTGCTCACCGAGCAGCACCCCGTTCCCGGCGAGGACCCCTTTCACCGGGGTGTTTCCCTGCTCCTGCAGACACGGCGTGGGACAGGCCGGGATCATCCCGCCTTCGATGGCAGCAGTCCATGAGCGAGCCCCCTTTAGGGATCTGCTGCCAAGTACTGCAGGGAATGGGATATGTCTCCCGGGCACCGGCACGGCCTGTGGAGAGCGCGCCGTGGGATGCCCCTGAACCCACGGCTATCCTCGAGCCGCTCACCGAGAGCACGACCGGACCGCCCTCGCTGCTTTCCCGTCCTGCTGGGGAATCCCAGACCCCTCGCGAGTCGCCTCCTGCATACCCCCGGGTCCCAGATCCCGCGGCTCCCGTGTCCATCACCCCATCCTCGATGCAGCGCCGGGTGTACACTGCCCTGCCACCACTCACGGCTACAGCGCCCGCCGAACGTTTTAGGCTTCGCTAGACATCGAGGATCAGCGAGAGGACGGAATGCACGCAATTAAGTGAGTACTTCTCCCCACAAGTTTTGTTATTACTTAATTCTGTCATTTACAGCCAAACCAGGGGAGAGCGCGAACGCAGTCCCCCACTACCACAAATTATGCAGTCGAGTTTCCCGCATTTGGGGAAATCGCAGGGGTCAGCACACCCGGAGTGCAAGGGATGAGCCTCGCCCTGGGAAAACCACCTGCCTGATCATGGTGTCTCCCCTGCCAGGTAAGTATGCCCGAATCGCCCCAGCGCCCGCTTCCGGCGCCCGCCGCACGCCCGATAGGACACGCCCGGCCCCGCCCCGGCCCCGACACCGCCCGGCCCCACGCTGCGGCCCGGCCCGCACGGTTCGGCACGGCCCGGCCCGCGTCAAGGCCGCGGACGCGCCAGGACAGCGCGGGCACGGCGCGGGATCGGGCCCGGCATGCCGCGCGGCGGGGCGAAATTTGCATGAACGCGCCCCGTAAGGGCCGGTTAATGGCCCGGCCCACCTCACACTCGTCGCGTCCTTTTGATGTCATCAATTGGCCGTCACCGGTTCCGGTTCGGTGCTGGCGGCGCGGCGCGCACCGGGCGGCGGCTCTGGGAGCCCTGATGGCGTCAAGCGCCGCCCGCGGGCCGCCGTGCCGGGAGCGGAGCGGCCGGGAGCGGCCGGGACGACGATCGGGTTCTGCCGGGCGGAGCCGGAGCCGTAGTGGGGAGCGGGAGGTTGAGAAGAGAGCGCTCCGTATGTACCAAGGGGGGGCGGAGCGAGGCGGGAGCGCTCCCCGGGGTGCGAGGGGGTGCCGCCGTGCCCGGTGCTGCGGGACACCGAGTCGTGCCGAGGGGCCTTGCTGCGTGCTGGCGCTAACCGCGGTGTTTTGGGGCAGGGGAGGAGCTGCCGGCGGGAGCTCTGGACGGTGAGGATGGAGCACCAGCCGCCAAATCCCCGAGGAAACCGGGGCGGCCCCGAGCCGGTCCCGACGGCGCGGCGGAGGGGCGCGGCGAGAGCTCCGCCAACGGGGCAGTGGCGGCGCCGCGGGCTGGCGGGCGGCGCGGCAGGAAGGGCAAGGCCGAGGTGCTGCTGCTGGAGCTGTCCCGGGCACCGGAGCCCCTCCGGGCGGAGAAGGCGCTGGGCACCGGCGAGGACGGGAACGGCCCCGAGAGCCCGCGGGGCGGGCGGCCCAAGAGGAGGGCGGCCAAAGTGTAAGTGGGGGTGGCCCGGGAGTACCGTGCTCTAGAGACACGTGAGAGAGCGGGAATAGTTCAGGCTGGATAAGAAAAGGCTCCAGGAAGACCTCAGAGCCTCTTAAAGGGGCACAGAAAAGTTGGAGAGGCCTTTGGACAAGGGTTGTAGGGACAGAACACAGGGAATGGCTTTCCACTGCGAGGGTTAGGTGGGATTTTGGGAATAAATCCCTCCCTTTGGGGGTGGGCAGGCCTTGGCACAGGCTGTCCAAAGAAGCTGTGACTGCCCCATCCCTGGAAGTGTTCAAGGCCAGGTTGGATGGGCCTTGGAGCAGCCTGGGCTCGTGGAAGGTGTCCCAGCCCATGGCAGGAGGTGGAATGGATGAGCTTTAGGCCACCCCAAACCATTCCCTGATTTCATGATTCTTGGATGGAATCTGTGTCCCCAGAGGGTCTCAGTGTCTGCCCTATAGGACTTTGTCCCCTGCTGGTGGGATGTACTGATTCCTCACAGACCAATCCTTTCCCACTTTAGGGAATGTGTTTGGATCCAGGAGCCCCTGGCAGGGCGCAGCAGCTGCCTGTGGCAGGAGGAATTTCCTTGCTTCCTGACAGAGCAGGAGGAATTGTTGGTGGTAGCAGGGCGAGCTGCAGGGAGTTCAGGGTGGGGGAGGCTGGCACTCAGGCTCAGCTCATTGCCCCGAGCACCACGGCCTGGGGGAAGGAGGGCGGCAGGGCTGGCCCACCCGTGCCGGGCTGTGCTCACTCACATCCAGGCGCTGCCCTGGCCTTGCAGGGCCCTGCTGTACCTGCAGGAGCTGGCCGAGGAGCTGATGCCGGCATGCCAGCCCCCTGCTCCCGCCAAGGAGCCCGAGCGCGGCCAGAGCAAGCGCCGCAGGAGGAGGAGGAGGGAGGAGGACACGGACAGCGACGACCCCGCCCGGGACGCTGACTTCGTGCCCTCGCAGGAGGTGCTGCAGGCAGAGGAGGAGGAGGAGGAGGGCAGCGACACGCTCAACAGCGAGGCATCAGAGCCAGACCTGGAGATACCCCGAGGGCACGGCGGGAGGACGGCGGCCACGGGGGTGAGGGCAGAGCTGGGGCTCTGCCTGGGTCCCTGTTTGTCCCTGCACCCACAGCTCCAATGGCCCTGCTGTCCCACGGGATCCCTGTTTGTCCCTGCACCCACAGCTCCAGGTGGCCCTGCTGTCCCACAGGGTCCCTGTTTGTCCCTGCACCCACGGCTCCAATGGCCCTGCTGTCCTACAGGGTCCCTGCTGCCAGGGACAGGGTGGCACATGGGGAGGCACAGGGCCGGTGGGAGCCGGGACAGGAGCTCTGGGAGAGGGAGCAGGGCCTGCACTCCTGCTGGAGCAGGGGGAGGTGGAGGCAGGTCCTGAGGGGTCCTGGCCTCCTGGGAGTTCCCCCAGGGGCTGTGTGTCTGCAGCCCAGTGCTGACAGTGGCTGGGGAGGGCTCTGTTCTCGGGGGCTGTGGTGGTTCCCTCAGGGACAGGTGGTCCCCCAGGGCTCAGGGCCTGCTCTGAGTCTGCTCTTGTGCCCAGAGATCCAAGCCCCAGTGCCGAGGCCTCGCCCCCAACGGCTTCCACAACTCCATCATGGCCCCAGTGGAGAAGAGCTCCAGCCTTACCTGCAGCCTGTGAGTGGGAACTCGGGGTGCTCGAGGCTCAGGGGGCTGCAGGGGCAGTGGGTGTGTCCTGGTGCCACCACTGGCACAGGTGCAAGGCTGAAGGAGCACGTGCCTCGGGAATGTCACTGTTCTGCTGGGGTGGGAGGGCTGCCAAGGGCAGGGGCTGTGCTGCAGAAGGGGAGGCTGTGCCACAGCATGCAGGCAGGGATGCTGCTCGTGCCTGGGGAGGGCTGTGAGGAGGGTGCTGGACATGCCCGTGCAGGGCCATGGCTGAGCTCTGGCGTGCCCTGCAGGCGGGAGCAGAAGCACTCGCAGTGGGAGTTCCCTGACTGGATCCCAGTAGCACACAGGTGGACGTGTCTCTCTGACAGGTACCCTGGGAGCAGGGAGGGAGCAGGGCCAAAGGAAAAGTGGGGCAGGTCCCAGCAGTGGCTGGGGTGAGCAAGGGGATGGGTGGCCTGTGCTCCCCCACCCCTCTGTGTGTCTGCTGTAGACTTTGGGGGTCTCTTGGGTTTGGCTGTGGAGGAACACGGTGGGCAATGGGGCCTGTGTGGGGGCTGGGATGGTGCTGGGGTGGTTAGGGAGGGGTGGGAGAGCTGCTCTCACTTGTGCCTGCACAGCGAGGCTGCCCCGTACCTGCCTGCAGAGGAGAAGTCTCCCCTCTTCTCCATCCAGCGCGAGGGCATCAAGGACGATGGTGCCTTGTACAGGCTGAACAGGTGTGTGATGGGGTGTCCCCAGGACAGCAGGCTGCTTGTGGCCTGTCAGGGTGTCCCCAGGCCCAGAGGGACAGTGGCTGTCAGGGTGTCCCTAGGCCCAGAGGGACAGTGGCTGTCAGGATTAGGGTCAGGGTGTCCCCAGGCCTAGAGGGATGGTGGCTGTCAGGGTGTCCCCAGGCCTGTCTGGACCAGAGGTGACCAGAGGTTACCCCAGGGCTGCACCCATGGGTTGGGCACCCTGGGGTGCCGCCAGCCCCTGGCCCAGCTCTCAGAAGCCCTCACCCCTGTGCCCCCCAGGTTCAGCTCTCTGCAGCCCCACCCGGAGCGCCGGGATGTCTCATTCTTCGTGGGCGGCCCGGTGTGGGCCATGGCGTGGTGCCCGACCCCGGAGGGCTCCGCAGCCCCGCAGTTCGTGGCCGTGTCCTGCCACAGGAGCATGGAGGAGACCCACAGCGTGTCTGGGCTTCACTCAGGCCCTGCCCTCCTGCAGCTCTGGGACCTGGGCACGCTGCAGACAGAGCAGGGGTGAGTGGCCAGGCCTGGGGCTGGGCCCTGCCTCAATCTTGTGTCCCTCCATGGCTGTGTGGGTGGTGAGGCTTGGCCTCTCCAGAGCCACCAGCCCCAGCCTGAGCCCTGAGGAGGCTGTGCTGCTGGCCAGCTCTGCTGCTGCTGGTGTACCCTGGAGTGTATTGGAGCTGCTGGGCACCGGCTGCCATGTTACTCACGGCCAAACTCACACCCACAGCTCTCCCAGCAAGGCCAGGCTGGCTTATGCCATCGCTGCTGACCATGGCTGTGTGTGGGACATGAAGTTCTGCCCCAGCGGTGCCTGGGAGCCGCCCACTGCAGCCCGCACGGTGAGTGCTGCTCAGGGGCTGCCCCTGGGCCCCCTGAGGGTCCTGGGAGGTGCCCCCATCCCTGTCTGAGCCCGTCTGTCCATCCCCAGCACCCCGAGATGAGCCGGCTGGGCCTGCTGGCCGCTGCCTTCTCGGACGGCAGGGTGGTGGTGTACGCCCTGCCGCACCCCGAGGCCCTGCACCACGCCAAGGCAACCCAGGTAAAAGGTAGGAAGAGCCACACCGCCAAGCAGGGCGTTCTGGCCCTCCTCCACCCGTGCCAGGGTGGGACTGCCAGCCCTGGGCTGGGCACCTCTGTCCACAGGAGCCTGCTGTGCTGGGGAGCTGCCAGCAGGGCTGTGCCCAGCCTGGGAGCTGCATGGTGGGGAATGGGGGCCCTGCTGTCCCCAGCCTGGCATCTGGCACAGGGATAGTGTGGGATCCCAGGCTGCTTTTGGTGCTGGGGGTCTGCTTTGAGTACCCTTGTGCCCACAGATCCAAGCCCCAGTGCCAAAGCCTTGCTTCAAGCAGCTTCCACAATTCCATAGTGGAATTCCAGGGGAAGAGGGCTCCAGCCTTACCTGGGGCTCATCCAGAAGGGCCCACAGCCTGTGTGAGAGGAGGCCATGTGCCGAGTGCTGCTCTGGTTCTGTCTCAGGGACGCTGCAGCAGCCTGGCTGGGATGTGGCTCAGTGCGGGCAGCCCCTGGGAGCTGGGCGCTGGGAGGGGGCTCTCAGCAGC